CCGCACATGTGCATGTATCTTCCAAAAGACATCCACCACTATGTTTCAAGCAGTTTTGGCAAGAGAAATGTTGACCCAGCAGTTGTCGCTTGGATTCTTTGGACCAGTCACGCCAAATGTCTCTGCTGGAACTTCAACCGGGATGCCATTCATGTGGACTCTATGCAGGCCATATGGAGCGTCATTGGGCAACGAAAAGTCGTATTTACGTACGATATTGGCAAGAACGGTGTGGATTTCAAGCATTGCCAAATGCCGTCCAGGACAAAGGCGAACACCAGAGCTGAACGTCAAGATATCTCTCAGCCTGTTGGCAGAATCAGGACCGAGAAACCGCTCGGATCGAACATGCCAGGGTTGGCCCAAAGCCGTGGGTTGCGGTGGCATGCAGCAACCGACACACAGACATTTGAACCGCCTGGAATGAAGCAGTCCTGGAAGGTGACACCCTCTGCTGGAACACATCGCTGGAGCACGCTTGCGAAGGAGGGGTTAAGACGCATGCTCTCATGGATGACTGCCGAGAGATACGGCAGCTTTGACTTGGCATCGGCAAAGGATATCAGCTGTGACGAGTCAGAGAACGTCGAGCGCACTTCCTCGGTCACTCTCTTGTAGCACTCTGGGTAGTGCATCAGGTTCATGATTGCAAATGACAGCATATTGCCTGTCGTCTGAGGATCCATGGAATGTCAGCAACAAGTGGAACCTGTCCTGCAAATATGGAAAAGCCTGTTGTGTCGTGAACCATGTCAATAATGGCCATGACGCCGGTTCTCAGAGTGGTAAATCTTGCACCAAAGAACAGCTCGCCGATGACGTCGTAGCCCATGCAATGGAACGAGTAGAAATAGTTGACTCTAGCTGCCTCTCCTTGCTTGGAAATATCGCTGTCCCACGTGTTCATGAGCGAGCTGACTCCTGTATCCACCACCAGACTCTCGACGTTACACATCGTGCGCATCGAAAACGCATCGCCTATCTGGCGTCGACGGAGCTTGTTGATCTCAGGATCGGTTGTGGAGAATGTATCTAATACAGCACCGCAGTTAACAATGTCCTCATACATGCGACCCTTCCGAAATGCATGGGTGGCAAGAACAAGGCGGGTATCGGAGGTGCTGGATAGAGATATATGGTCGTGGCCGATGCGCACCACCTCGCCGTATTTCTCGTGGAGTTCAGTAGAGTATGAATGGTACTGCCCGCAAAAAAGCTTGTACATGAGCGGAAGATTGGAGAGCCTGTTCATGAACGGTCTGGGGATGCGGGCAAGTGGGGTGAAAAATGCATGGCGAATCAGCCGTGCGACGTATACTGCCACAACCAGAGTGATGACAGGCCAGAAGGTGGCAGACCCAATAGGCCGTTGCAAAGCGCCGAGTATATGCTCTAGAATCATTTTTATAAGGTAGGAGATATTGAATAGCTACCTAGAGAGAAAGTGGATACAGGCAGTATATCTGGAGAGAGTGGTGTCCTGGATGCAGTGGCTCGGTATCCAGTACAACGCTCGCTATCATGCTATGCCAACGACAATCCTAGCACAGTATTGTGCATCCTCGCATAATACTAGAAAAGGGGGTACGGTGCATGGCGCTAGTGGTGAGTGCAGAGTCTCCATTCTTTGTCCAAATCAACAATTGAGGTAAATTGGATGAAGTAGAACATGTCCGCACTACCTACACATTTGCCTACCATAGTGTGTCTCCCGCCCTCTACTACTGCTGGCAGCAACGCCACCATGGCCTCATTCTCACGCCTTCACCGCCAAGCGTGCACAGTACAGACGTAGGCTGGGCTGCAGTACACTAATCTGAATGGCTAAATAGTATGCAACATGCGTTCCATCATTCCGCAGACCTTTGATGCGCATATTGATAGCTGCTGTGCACAAGCAAGCCCATACATCTATCTGTCCAGCCATATCTGTGAAGATGTAGGCATCCTGCAAATACTAGTTCTTTCACCTGTTGTCCACTATATGCACACTACTAACTGCATATAACCCCAAGCCTCATGGCCCCAGGCATGTTGATCTGGAAAGTTTAGTGATAAAAAGTAGCTATATCAGGCCAGAGAAATGTTGACCCAGCAATTATTCTTGGGGTTTACTGGTCCGGTAACGAGATAAGACAACCCAGGCACCTCAACTGGTATGCCGCTAGGGCTCAGTCTGTGAGGACCGTACGGCATCATCGGGCAGCTTGAAATCATACCGGCGTAGAATATTGGCAAGCGCTGTGAAGATATCTAGCATTGCCAGGTTTCGTCCAATGCAGACGCGAACACCAGTGCTGAACGTAAGAACGTCACTGATCCTCTTGGTTGAATCTGGGCCAAGAAAGCGCTCGGGGTCAAACACACCAGGGTTCTTCCACAGACGAGGGTTGTGGTGGCAGGCGCCAAAAGACAGACAAATCTGTGAGCCAGTCGGGATGAAGAAGCCTTGGATGGTCACGCCCTCTGCCGGCACATTCCGTGTGAGCATTGTAGCAGATGGTGAGGTAATCCGCATGCTTTCGTAGATGACAGCCGAGAGATATGGTAGCTTTGTTTTGGCATTGGCATACGAGATCGTTTGAGAAGTGTGGGGAATGTCGAACGGATTTCGTGTGTAACGCGCTTGTAGCATTCTGGGTTGTGCAGCAAGTTCATCACTATCCATGTCAGGGTGCTGCCTGTGGTATCGGAACCAGCCACGAGCATCAGAATCAATTCGGACTCGAGTTGGGGTGGCGTGAGCCCTTGGCCTGTCTCGGGGTCTTTAGCATTGATGCACTTTGCAGCACATCTATGCGCGGTGGCAGCCCAGTTTCGCTGACCACTTTCTTGCGGGTATGATAGAGTCATATGTTATCTGTTCAATTTTCCTGCGTGACTCCTTGAGCTTCTTAAAAGCCCATGGTTTCCTTGCGAGCCATGGCGCAAGGTTTCGTATAGCAGCAACCATCGCGGTATCGTGCAGCCAGTCGATGATATCCGCGTTCCTGGTTTTCAGAATATTGAAGCTAGAGCCAAAAGCGACTGCGCCAATAACGTCTACTGCCATGCGGTGAAAGGCGTAGTAGTAGTTAACCCTGGCAACTTGTCCTTGCTTGGCAATCTCGCTGTCCCATGCGGTGATAAGCGCGCTGGCGCCAGCGTCCACCACCAAGTTTTCAACAGCGCGCATCGTGTGTGCCGCAAACGCATCCCCCAACATACGCCGACGAGCCTTGTTCACTTCTGGAAGTGTTGTAGTAACATGCTGGGTCACATCCGTTGCCGCCGATCTCCTATACATGCGTCCCTTCCGAAACGCATGAGTGGCAAGAACCATACGTGTATCCGAGGTGCTTGAAAGAGATATATGGTCGTAGCCATGCGCACAACCTCGCCGTACTCGGCGTGCAGTTTGACTGAGTAGGTGTGAAATTGTCCACGGATCAGCTGGTAGTTGAGCGGTAGATTGGATATCTTGTTGAGAAACGGCCCTGGGATGGATGCCAGAGGTGAGAAATACGCGTGGTAGATGAGGCGAGCAACGTATACTGCCACGACCATAGATAGGGTTGGCCAAACCATGCTTGACACTGTCGGAGCCTGTAGAGGCCTAAACATAAGGTCCAGCACCATTGCTTGGGATTTGTTAGGAGTGAATATTTCTGCCGAAATGAGAGCGACCGCTAGAACAGGTTGGATGGCCTGAGGTGGGCATGATGCGCGCTTTTACATGATACAGTCGCCACCACTATTCCGCATTGGTCGTGTTTTGGACACCCATTGAATAATGCAAGTGCGGTGTTTGTCTGTAAGGCGCACTTAGCGTGGCGTTAGCTGTATCAATCGTCACGCCAAATGCTGTATGTGGGTATTGACCCGCTGCAATGTCGCTCCACCGACCTCGGCTCCTACAAAGAATCGTCCAGACACTATCCACATGCGTCCTTTTGTCAGCTGTCCTAGCCGAATGCTACAGGCTGTCCGGGTGGTTCAAGTCCATTTGATGGTAGGAAACCTCCGCAGGTTGGGCACCATTTGCTGGATCAATTGAGTCACTACTGGCATTTGGTGTACTAGTTTTGCTATTGAGCACTGGCAAATTTGCAAGTGTGGCGGATCAAATATAGCATACTGTGGTGGTCTAGTAGTGCTCCGCGGCCGATAATGACCACCATGATGACGCCATGGCAATTTTCAAGTCGATCGACAACGAGAGGGCATCTCACGCTGAGCCAATGGAGATATCTAGCAGAGGCCTGTGGCCACTACAATCGCAGCTTGTTGCCCTGGTTTCGCTGACACGCTCAGATACCGCACAGCAGCGAAATCTTCAGAAATGTCAGTGTGCAGCGTCTGTAGTTTTCCTTTTTCCTTTTCTTCAGTTTGAACGCTTGGTGTCTATGAATATGGTTTATATTCAGTTTAAAAACATGAATCATAAACACAGTAGTAGTGTTTGCGATTTGCCCAAGTCAGCGCGGACTGTGAACAGCGATATATATTCAGACAATATAATCCTCAGTGTTCCTGGCACTACGAGATACAGTGTAATAGCCAAGCTGGGTGAATGTCGAAAGGTTGAAATCATCTAATACATTTTGTCTACGGCCTAGTAAAACACACTGCGAGTGAGGTGGATCGGGATGCCCTTCATCTCATCGGCAAACTCCTTTGCGTAGTCCCAGATATAAAATCCAGCAAAATCGCATTAACGTGCATGCCTAGCGCTGTAATCTGCCTCCGGATGAGCTCGACGGCCCAGATGCTGTTCCCCCTGATCTCGACCTCCCACGGATGGCCGCTCTCCAACAGTTCTCCGTTCTGTTGCACTCCAGGTAGTTGAATAGCCGCTCCGAATAGCTCAGAGCCCCAAAGTGGTACAGTGCCTGGGGGACACGGTAGTCAGCAAACATTGTGATATTATCGATATCCGCGAACTGGCACTGGCCCTTGCCCTCGAAGCATGCCCATAGGTCGGCAACCAGAATCTGCGCGCGCTTGTAAATGCACACTATCCTATCCATGTACATGTGCTCGTCGCGGAAGCATGTAAAGTCGCGCACAACCATCTCCACCAGGCGCTGTGCCGAGCCCTGTGCCTGCCGCAGAACATTAGAGAATTTGCCCTGGTACTTTTCCAGCAGCACCCGACCAACCTCGTTCAGCACACTTACACGCTCATCCAGCATTGGAATCGGCTCCTGAGTTTCAGTATCATCTGTCCTGAAGATGTACGACACTTGCTCTCTTGTAATGCCTGCACAGTACGCTGCATCGGTGATAGGGATGCCCTCGCGCATGGCCCGGTTCACTGCTGCGCATAATGTCCAGTACCGCGGTACGCCTGGCCGTCAAGTGACACTGTGTACTGGTTTGCCTGCGGCTTGTCGGTCCAGAACGAAAAGTTCAGGCTATCCACGACAAAGATCCACTCTATGGCTGCAGAGTCAGCAACGCTGGGCGTCAGAGTGTTCTTCTTCCACTCGGCCGTCGAGTACCCGATCTGCTGCATCCTTTGCATGATCTTCTGCGCGGCAGCCTTGACGCCGTTGAGCGGCACGGAGACGTCCTGGCTGGTCCTGTTGATGAACTCGGCCGAGTCCAGCACACGGTCGCGGCGAGGCGAATTTCAGCAACAGGCATTTTGGGTAAATGGGGCAAATAAAGAGAGTTTGTGTAAAACGGAAGCAGAGGAAAAGGAACCGAAAAAATAACGAAAAAAAAGAAAATTTTTTATGCAAGCTTGCGCAGCGTTACTGATATGCGGCGCCCATCGAGGACTGGGTCACCCGAATGGTGCAGAGCTGGAAACCCATGTGACCAGCGGAACCGTGCATCGCCCGCCATCGCGTAGATATCCCCTGGCTTGATCCATGCCGATACCTCGCCTGGGACCACCCCGTTGTCATGGTCTGCATACCTTGCTGCTCTCTCAATATCATCGTCCTTGACTGGTCTCAAGCGCAAAAGCGCGGGCGCACCAAAACTAAAGCCAGCGATCCCATCGCCGAACCTCAAAAGATCGATATGGTCGCCGATTCCCTCGCCTGGGTCGTATAGGTTGATGATTGCTTGATCAAACAGCACAGGGCGCTCACGCACCTCCTTTGGCAGCAGCAGTGGATGCTCGCAGCACATGCGGGACAGGAATCCAAAGGGCGTGGAGGCGTCGGTCATGGCGCCAAAGTGCATTCCCTGGTTGATCCTCTTTGCGGACGTGTCGGTGGAGGTGTGGGGAAAGTACTCGGCGGAGAGCCAGTTAAAGAATGCGGTGCAGAGGGCTGGGTGAAGAGCGTTGCGGTGGATCTTGAAGCCTGGCACCGGCTCGTCGATGTGAGGGGTGCTAGCGGACCCGAGGAAGGTGGAATCGTTCATTAGCTGGAGCAAGGCGTCGTGGTGTGCGAATTCGTTGTCGATTTTGTCTGGAGAGTCGGCTCCTTCTCCATCAGACGCGTCGCCAAACAGCTTCTGCAAACAGCTCCTGCGTATCAGCCATACTAACATATAAAGACATGCACGCATGCTGGTTGTGTAAATGCATTGATGCAGCAACAGAACATACACACAGGACAAATTGCATTTTTATGGTAAGTGACGGGGGCGTGCTTATCGCCGCTGCTTCCTTGCCGCCCTTGCCGCCCTTGCGGATCTTCTTGGCCTCGTCCACCGAGATCCGCTTGCTGTTGTCGTCGTCGTTGTCATCGCGCGACCGGCTTGCCTTTGCCCTTGGCTGCCCTTCTTGGCCTGCAGTTCCTTGAGCTCCAGCGTGGCCATGCGCTGTGCCTCGTTGACGCGCTCCTGCAGAAGCATGATTTCATCCTTGTTGCCCGGGAATTCGTCCAGCTTTTTGCCAATGACCTGCTTCGATACGCTGCAGCAGCTCCACGTCGTTACTGGGTCACAAATGAGATAGCACGGCCCGAGCGGCCAGCGCGGGCTGTGCGACCGACACGGTGGATATAGTCCTTGGAGTGGGTCGGAATGTCGTAGTTGACGACAATGTCGACGGCCGGGATGTCGAGGCCACGCGAGGCCACATCGGTGGCCACCAGGACGTTGCGCTTACCAGACTTGAACTTGTTCAGCGCTCCCATGCGGCGATCCATGCTGAGCTGGCCATGCAAAGGAATAGCCTCGATGCCCAGGTTGCGCAGCAGCAAACCGATACGCAGGACCTCGTTACAGGTGCGCGCAAACACAATCGCCGACTGTCCCGCATTTCGTTCAGCAGCCACACCAGATAGCAGTCCTTGCGCTTGAATGGGAAGAACATGTAGTATTGCAGCAGCTTGTCGGCAGTTGAGTACTTTGTCGACACCTCAACCTTGACAGGGTTTGTCAGCGACGCCCTCTGCAGCTTCGCTACCTTGGTGGTCATGGTGGCCGAGAACAAGAACGTGTTTCGCTCGCGTGGGATGACCTTTAGGATCTGGTCAATCTTGGGCCAAAGTCGAGGTCCAGCAGCCGATCTGCCTCATCCATGACCAGGTATTTTAGCGTGCGCAGCGAAAAGCCCTTGGTGTTCTCCAGGTGGTCCTGCAGACGGCCTGGGGTGCACACCACCACGTGTGGCTTACGCGACAGGCGATTTGCTGTGCAATCATGTCCATGCCGCCAACGACTACTGCGCCGCGCGCCAATCGCCGAACCCAGCGCCTCAAATGTCTCTGCAATCTGGACGCCAGCTCGCGCGTCGGCGCCATCACGCATGCAAACAGCGGGGATGGGTTCTCCCAGAGCGCCTGCAGGATCGGGAGCGCAAAGGCAGCGGTCTTTCCGGAGCCGGTCTGCGCCAGGCCGATCACGTCGCGGCCCTGCAGGGCCCAAGGAATCGCGTCGCGCTGGATCTCGGTGGGTGCCTTGAAGCCAAGCTTGTCGCAGGCCTCGCACAGCTGTGTCATGACGCCGATATCGGCAAAACGATTTGGGTGCCTCTTTCTGTGTCCGACATTGTGGAATTGAGGTAGCTGGAGGCGAGGATAAATGAAGAGACAGTGGTGAAGGAGAGCTTACCAATGCGCTCCAAAAAAGTTTTGAACAAAAAAGCCGAGGATCCGCAGTGATCCGATCCGCAGTGATTGGTCTATGGATCAGATCGCTATGCAGAGGCAACTCGCTGTTTATTGCGCCGACTAGCAGGATCGACGTTGACCAAAGCCGCACGCGAACCGAGCAGTACCGGCAATGTTTACATTTGCAAAGTCACAATTGTCGTTGCAATGGCGATCATGCAGCATGTCGCTGCCGACGATGACGGCACGGACGATATGTGGCGATGTCCTGGCATCCATGGAGGCGGGCTAAACCCCGAGTCACATCAGCCTAGCCCAAGGCGATATTCCACCCAATCCCGCACGGGCTGTGGTGGTGGTGGTTGTGTGTGTGTGGGACCATCAGTCTGTGGGCACTGCGGGACGATGGGGTTTAGAAAAGCTAATTATAGATCGCCTGGAGCCCGGAATAGCCGAGGTCTGGATAAAGGTGGGATTGCTTGTGCATGGGGACGGGCTGCCTCTGGAGAAAAACAAAAAGAAAGTTTGCAGTGGCAGGCTCTGTGCAGGCTGCAATCCGGTGGCGAGAGACCGTGTGCAAAGAGAAAAGAAAAAGGACGAGGCAATAAAGCATTAACTGCTTGGAACTGCCCAAGGGAATGTTGTGAGAATTACATGTGTGGAGGTGTGCATGCCCTCGCTCCACGCTAGAGCGCTGGCCATCCCTCCCAAAAAAGCGGTTCACAGTGAAGAAAAGTCGACTGGCTGCTGTATTGTGTCTGCGCGGGTGGATTCAGCCAGTGGGCGAGGGATGTAGGTTAAAGGGCGGGCGGTTGCAGCTTCTTGTCTGCGCTAAACAATCCTGCTCGCCTTTTTCCACTCATCCAGTCTCTAGGCCTTCCTTGGTTACACACATCGCCTGTGTGTTGTATTAATAGCCTGGTTCAGCCACTATTTTGCTGTGCTATCCGTTCTCCGATTCTATAAATCTCGCCCTTGCTCTCTGTCGTGGCTGGTTGGCCCAGAGGCATCTTTTTCTCTCAGTAAAAGACACGGCTGTTTAGCGAATAGAGTGGTGTATTTTCGTGCCCAGCAAAGAAAGTAATAGCGTACTTGCTTGGACTGGTGATCCCCTTCCTTCGCGTTTGTTTTTGTGTTCAATCTTGGGTCTTCTCACTCGCTCTGCTCCAGCATCCCTCCCTTCTTTCTGTCCACCTAGGCTTTCTCGTTTTCAGCTTATTCTTCGTTTTTTCTACCCGTCTCCCGTCTTCGCCGCAACACTCCCTCTTCCCTTTCATCGTCCACCTTACTATACGACCTACATTTTTTCATTCCACCGTTTCACATATCCTGCCATGAGCAGCCATTGTACGATTGGGCTCCGGGGCCTGCTGACATTTGCACTATGCGCCATTGCAGCTGGTGCTTGTTCTAGCAGCCAACAAAAAGTGCAACGGATCCAGCGAGCTGTGTTCGCGGGCATTCACGAAGTATCACACATCTCGACACATGCCTCATTTGCGCTGGTAAACAGCTCGGGCTTGCGGGCACGCAGTACAAGGACATCAAGCAGCAGCTGAAGGACGGGGTGCGTGGGCTGCATCTGGACATCTACAAGGGCTCGACGGCGGGCTCGGTGAATTTGTGCTTCCCCGACTGCAGCGTGATCAACGGCGGCACGCTGGCGGCGACGCTGGAAATTGTGAAGGCGTGGCTCGATGACAACCCCAACGAGGTGGTGACGATATTCCTGGATGGCGCTGAGACCACGGCGGACCCAGCTGCTGTGGAGCAGGCGTTCGTGAGCTCGGGCATCGACACATACATGCTGCCCAGCAAGACGGTGACTGGGAAGTGGCCGACGCTGGAGAAGATGATTTCCGACGGCACGCGGCTGGTGGTGTTTGCCGAGTCGCCGGCCATCTCAAACTACAAGAAGCACTTTATTCAGTTTAAAGGAATAGTGCTCAAGCTCGATGGCCCGTTCACGTACGGCGCCGAATGGACGTGCGGGCCGTGGACGCGGTCGACCGAATCGATTCTCCTGATCCCGCACCTGATAGTCCAGACAGCGACGATCAACAAGGTGCAGCACACGAACCTGCCGTATCCGTTCAACCTGGGCACGACCAACGGGTACCAGCTCGAGTACCATGCAGTTACATGCCGCGGTGGACAGTCGATCTGGATGAACTTTGTCGAGGTCGACTTTTACGACAAGGGCGATGTGTGGACACCCACGAAGAAGTTCAATGCGCTGCCGTATGAGGGCGACGATGTGGGCAACTTCTACCCAGAGTTCTTTGATGCCAAGGTGAACAGCGATGGGCGGGCGATTGTGGACCTCAGTGGCGCTCGGGCTGTCGGGCCAGCGGCAATGGCGTGGACGATGGCTGCGGTGGTGCTGTCGCTGGCTGTTGGCGGCAGCGGCCTGCGGATATGAGCAGAGGGCTGCTTTCATGTTCAGTAGTCTCTGTGCGCTTTTCTTTTTCCAAATTCCATCCCACTAGACATTCTCACCCCATTTTCGAGGCTCCTCCACACAGCATTCCAGCCACCCGGCCGTCTCTTTGCTGGCATTCCCTGATCTCAACACCTTCTGTTTGCAGCTGAAGATCATCACGAGTATGAAATTAATGTAAAAGTCGAAAGTACCATGATTTGAAGCTTGTTTTTGTTTAGGGTAGAAAAATTACTGGGGGAAAAGAAATCAAGAAGCAGAAATCAAGAAGCAGAAAATCACTGGCTCCGCCCGAGCGCCCCAGCGGCTTCCGAGAAGCAGCTCTCTCTAGTTGAGCGGAGTGCGGCCATAGGCGCGGCGCCACATGGAGTCGATCTTCTGCAGATAGAAGGTGCCAGGGAAGAGCTTGGAGACGTCGCTCTGGGGCTCGTACTCGAGGGCGTTGTGGGTCTTCTCGCGCAGGGCCATGATCTGCTCGAACTCGACAGGCGAGACCTTGGTCCGGCTGTCCAGACGGGCCTTGAGGTCAAGGGCCTTGGCGATCTCCTCGGTGTTGCCGCGGACGCGGAACGAGTACATGGACGCGGCGCATCCGGAGCCATAGGAGAACAGGGCAATGCGCTTGCCCTGGAGGTCAGCCGAGGACACCTCGGTGAGCAGCGAGGCCAGGCCAAAGAAGACCGAGCCCGTGTACATGTTTCCGATGTTGGAGGCGGCCAGCAGCGAGGGCTTGGTCTTGGCGGCAAAGGCCTGCTTGGAGACGTTAATGAAGGCCTTCTCGAGGACCTTGTTGGTGTACGAGTCCTCGCGGGCAATGTCCTTGAACTGCTGGACATCGGCGAACTGCGGGGCATCGGGGCTGCGCAAAAAGTCGTTGTAGGCGATACGGCCAAAACCCTTGATGACCTGCTTGGTGTAGGGCGAGTGGAAGACCAGGTAGTCGACGCTGTCCAGCGAGGCTGCGGACTCGGCTGCGCGCTTCTCCAGGGCATCGATGTAGGCCAGGTACGCGTTATCGAGGGCACGCACATACGAGGTCACCGACAGCGGGCCGTCGACGGTGGGGAACTCGGACGACATGTTGGGCTTGTAGAAATCGTAGGTGTTCTCCATGAAGGTGCGCGCAGCGGGAACTCGAGCGCCAGCGGGGCATCGGGAGCAACCAGCATGCAGACGACGCCGCAGCCGCCCGACGGCCTGGCGTTGCCCGACGCATAGACGGCGATATCGCCGGCCACCACCAGCGCCAGACGGCCGTCCCACGCCGACGAGTCCATCCACTGGCAGGCGTTGAAGAGCGCCGAGGTGCCGCCGTAGCAGGCGTTGGTCGTGTCGATGCCCTCGACGTTGAAGTTGCCAGACTCCTCAAACAGCTTCATCAGCACCGTCTTGGTCGACTTGCTCTTGTCGATGATCGTCTCGGTGCCCACCTCCAGGCGCCCGATGTCGCTGTACGACACGTTGTACTTCTCCATGAACGACTGCACCACCGTCAGGCACACTGACGAGATGTCCTCGCGGTCGTCGCAGAACGCCATCTTGGACTGCCCCAGACCGATCGTGTACTTGCCGGCCGACACGCCGTCGTGCTGCTCGAGCTCGACCTGGTCGACGTACTAGAGAGGGGAAGAGGGAGGAAGAGAGAGGCACTGAGTGCTACTGCTGCTGCCCGGCGGCTGATGTTGTTGTTTGCACACGTCCCGGGGGCTCTCCTCATCTTTGCAAAGAGCATGAATTCAACTTACACGGCTCGGGAAGTAGACCTCGATGGCACGGATACCAATGTTCTCGGCGCGGGCAACCATGGTTTTTCTGTGTGGTTTCTTTGTGCTAGTGGAAAATGTAGAGGAAAAGCTGATTAATGGATGAAAAGGAGCAGAGATTTCAATTCTTCTTGGCTCTGTCTTCAAAACATCTGAAAGCGCCCTCCCCCTGCTGCTTCGTCTGCGCTGTCTAAAAAATCCGCTGTCCCTCCTGGCTCCCGCCCCTCCCCCAATGTGCCCGCCAAAAGGGCGATGCTTGACATTGGGAAACCCCAGTAGGAGACCATTGATTGGGCCGGCCGAGTTGGGTGCACAATGCAGCCAAGAGTCGCTATGGAACTTGCTGGCAGTTGCCAAGTCGGAAACTGCCAGCACCAGCAGCGGATGGTGTGCGATCGTCGCCCTACGCTATTTTATTTTGCTGCTGCTTAGAGGGAGAACAGAAGGATCAGCTCTGTCGGCCTCTCGGCTTGTTCATCCAGGACAGCCAAAACACGACATGCCGCAGGCGGATCAACTGCTGGCGTTCGTGTCTGGGCGTGCATTCCACAAACAAGCAGATCGCGTTGTCGGGTAAAAACGCCAGTGTTTTTTATTTAGCAGTCCTACTCGCTTCTGGCGCTCGAACTGGGAGCAGAGTGGGTTACGCAAAACCTCCTCCGGAATATATCGGCCGAGACAAGAAAGGCTGACCGGCAAGGCATGGGGGGAGACCGCATGGCTCGCAATTTAAAAAGACGCTGCGATTCAGGCCTGGCGGAGCTCCTTCAGTGCTTCAACGAGCCGCTCGTAGTCCGGGGTGCCTTCAAACGACCCCTTGCCCTTGCCAATCAGGCCCCTGAGCAGCATCTTTGTCTGGTGCTTCCAGTCGCTGCACACGGGCTGCTCGATGGCAGCGGCCTTGCGCTGGTCGTCACCGGCGACCTCCTGGTCGTGTTGCTGCTGGCCGTCTTGGGCAGAGGGGGCCTTGACAACCTGCACCTTGTCGCCGAGGTTCTCGTACATGTCGGCAAGCTCCAGGGCGGCATCGACGGCATCCTTGAAGACCGGCGGGGCGTAGGACACCTGGGGCATCTGCGAGTAGCAGCGGTACGCCTTGATGTAGCAGTCGAGGCAGTGCTTGTAGTCGCGGCGCCAGAACCAAAAGTCGGCCATGGCGCGCCACAGCGGGGCGGAGTTGGTGATCTTGGCCTCCGATGGCATTGACCAGCAGGTGCTCAATGTACTTTGAGTACTGCTGCTCCTTGCGGCGGGCCTCGCGCTCATTGTCATTACGTGTCAAGGTGCCGCGTGTCAGCGACGAGATGATCCCCCGCAATATGTCCAGGTCGACGCAGGCAGCGCCGTCCTTCTCGGCTCGCAGCTGCACGATACGGTCCAGGGCGTGGATGGCGGCGCCGATCTGGTCCAGCGCCATGGATGCGGTCAAAAAGTTGGACCAGATCTGCCACGAGTCGTATTTGCCCTTCAGGGCCTCGCGCAGCGCATACCACGCCTGCTGGCGCTGCGACGCGTCATTGGACCGCATGTGGATGCTGGCCAGGTTGTTCCAGGCCTCCGAGTTCTCGTAGTCAATATGGACCACCTGCTGGAAGGCGTCACGCGCGGTGTCGTAGTCGCCGGTCTTGAGCGCCGCGCACCCCAGGATATACCACGAGCGCTCGAACAGCGGGTTGAGCTTCAGCGCGCGCTTGTAGCACGTGACGGAGTCGTCCGAACTCGCTGCGCGCGAAATGGTAGGCGCCCAGCGAGCGCATGGCGCGGGCGTAGCGGCAGCCCGAGACATCCCAGGCGTGGCGCCAGTGGGCCGGGTCCTGCTTGAGGTCGCCCAGCAGGCACCACAGCTTGGGGCGGCTCGGGGCCAAGTCGAGCTGCTCGCGGATGATGCGCTCAGCAACCTCCTCCTGGCCCAGCATCTGGTAGCACGCGATGACCTCGTCCCACATGTGCAGGCGCTCAAAGATATCCAGGGCCGAGCGCACGACGCCCAGGGCCATGAACTGCTTGGCCAGCTCGCGCTCCAGCTCCCACTGGCTGGGCAGCGCCAGCGCATGGAAGAACTGCAGGCGCTCGCATGGCCCTGCCTCGTGGGCCTCGGGCAGCGGGTGCGAGATCTGGTCGACCAAGGCCTGCAGCTGCAGCGTCGCACGCTCCACAGTGCGGGTTTTGGCTGCCTCCAGCCGCGACCGCTGCAGCAACGCCATGGTGTAGATGCTCCAGTTGCCCGGGTGCTGCAGCACACGCACCACAAACGGCATCATCTGCTCGGACGTCAGACCATGGGCCGGGTTTTCGTTCTGCACATTCAGGCACAGCGCCAGTAAAACACTCGCGTCCAGCCCCCGCAGCTGCTGCTGCCCCGATATGTCCAGATCCGTGAATGCAATCTGCTCCAGCAGCGTGTCGTCGTTCAGCGCAAAGCTCTCGGGCGCCGCCCCCTGATCTGCCTTGCGGGCCGGCTGGGCGCTCTGCGCTAGCAGCACCAGCTGCGCGGTGTCGAACTCTTGGAACCGCGTGCGCTTGCCCTTGGCGCCTGTGATCTCCCACTGCAGCCCGCTGGCCGCCTGTGCTGCCGTTAGCTGCTGCACCGCGTCCCGCGTCATCTGGTGCTGCGCATAGGCCACCCCGTGCTCCATGCTGAGCCTTGCCCACAGCTCGCGGTCGCCCGCCCCCACCGCATCCCATGTGTGGGTCGCCGCCGACCGGCTCATCGGCTCATGCACCGTCTCCTGCACCTCCACCATGCTGTCCTCGCCCAGCTCCGGCACCGGCTCGGCAGGCGCCGCCGGCATCTGCTGCTCCACGGCACTGTAGCCGTCCATGATCTGGTCCAGCAGCGACTGGGCCGGGTACTCCAAAAGGCTCTGCTGTGCGAGCAAAGCACGGGATGCCCACCACCTTGCGCTGCCTACCGCCTGGTCGCGCTCATCACACGCCATGTCCACCAGCAGCCAGCGGGCAAGTGCCAGAAACAGCGGCCGCGGCGTCAGCGTATACGCCTCCTCGCCGTCGGCTGCCAACATCTCCAGTAGCGACTGGTCGAGCGCCGCCCGCTCCTTGCTCTGCTCCGCTCCCAGATACACGCGTCCCAGCTGGTCACGTCGCCCGATCTCGTGCTTGGAAGCGCCTTCGGGCAGCTCTGTAGGCGCGGCTGCAATAAACCCTTCCTTGTACTTGTCTGCCACGGCCAGCAAAAGCTCTGCCGGGTCCATTAGGAACTCGGGGCCCGTCCAGTTCGTCTGGATGAACGCCTGCAGTGCTGCTGCTCCGATCCATGTCAGAGATGCCCAGCCTGCGGCCCCGTGCTGCGTGGCGAACTGCTGCGCCTGCTGCTGCGCTGTTGCCTGCAGAGACGACGCCGTCACGTCCTCGTCTGCGGCCAGCGTGCGGAATAGATACTGCGCTGCCTCCGACCGCAAAACCTGCTCGTACTGACCCTGGCTCAGCAGCGCTGCCAGCGCCTCTGCGCTCTGATCCGTCTGTGCGTCTGCGCTCCGATCCACCGTCTGCCCCAGCAGAAGCTGTCTCTCCAGTGTGCTCAGCGCCATGGTCGAAATAAAGTATGGTGTGGAATACAGGATGGTGTATGCTGAATACAAGGTCGATGCAGCAGCAGCTTTTATCCCTTTTATAAACGAAAATTTTTTTGAGAGAAGTTCAAAGAACGTGCTGAGTAATGGCTCTGAAAAAATCACTGGCTGCCTTTTGTCACTTTGGCCACTTTGAGCGTCACCTCCCTGCCCTCGCAGCCCCCTCGAGCTACATGCGTAAACTGACCCGTCCTTCGAGCCCGCTCTTGCTTCCTCAGCTTATACACTTTTCCAATTCCTAATTTGCTACAGCCCGCAATGAACATCAAGGTCAAGGTACTATTCCACTCGCGCATTCCAATCTGCGCCCCACACACCGCAGCCACCACGCATTCACCAAAACTAACTGCCCCACACCCGCCCTCATAGACTCTCACCGGCAAGGAGGTAAGCGACAAACAGCACACGCCCACCTGCTCCCTTCCTCGTTCCTGCACTGACAGCAACCCGCCCCCTTTCCGCGTAGATTGAGATTGATATTGAAAAGACGTCGACCGTCTTGCAGATCAAGGAGCGCGTCGAGGAGAAGGAGGGCATTCCCCTCCCCAGCAGCGCCTGATTTTCGGCGGCAAGCAGATGGACGACCCGAACACCGCCGAGTTCTACAAGATCGAGGGCGGCTCCGTGCTGCACCTGGTACTGGCCCTGCGCGGCGGCTCAAACTAACACCTCTCCCTCTTCAAACAATACCATCCCAATCCTCATCCATCTGCCATGAAATGCTGTTTGCGATTTTTTTGTTGTAGCTTGGCATATTCGAAAGAAAGGCTGGAGTCTGGTTTCTAGTAAACACGCTTGAACGGCGGCACTGCCTTGCACTCGTTCTCATCCAGAGTGTTGGCCATCACCCCACGGTACTTGAGCTCGACCGGGCGGTCCACTTCCGTCTGGTACGACAGCGTGTGCTTCATCCACTCCTTGTCGTCGCGCTCAGGGAAGTCCTCGCGCGCATGCGCACCACGCGACTCCTTGCGCGCCACCGCCGAGTTGATGGTCTGCGTCGCGCACGTCAGCAGATTGCGCAGCTCAAGCGTCTCGATCAGATCCGAGTTCCAGATCAGCGACCGATCAGACACACGCACCTTGTTGTACAGCTGCGACACCTCCGTCATCTTCTCCACACCCTCCTCCATGACGTCCTGCGTGCGGAACACCGCCGCGTGGTTCTGCATCGTCTTCTGCATCTTCAGACGCACCTCCGCCGTCGTGTGCTCGCCGTCCGCAGTCCGCGCGTAGTCGAGGTCCTTGATCGACTGGTGCGTGACCGGACGCATCCATGTCCTTGTGCGGCACATTGCGCTCAAACTTGGATGCAATGTCGTGCGACACCGCACGGCCAAACACAACCAGATCCAGCAGCGAGTTGGCCCCCAGGCGGTTCGCTCCATGAACCGACACCGACGCCGCCTCACCCGCCGCGTACAGCCCAGGCACAACCTCGTCCGAGCCGTCCGCTGCCAGGCGCACAACCTCACCTGTGTAGCGCGTCGGAATGCACCCATGTTGTAGTGCACGGTGGGCAGCACCGGGATCGGCTCCTTAGTCACGTCGACTCCCGCAAAGATACCGGCCGTCTCGGAGATGCCCGGAAGCCGCTCCGCCAGCACATCAGGCGGCAGGTGGTGCAGCTGCAGGTAGATGTGGTCCTTCTCGGGGCCAACACCGCGGCCCTCGCGGATCTCCATCGTCATCGACCGCGACACAACATCACGCGATGCAAGATCCTTAGCCGTCGGCGCGTAGCGCTCCATGAACCGCTCGCCCTCAGAGTTGACCAGGTAGCCGCCTTCACCGCGGCAGCCTTCCGTCATCAGGCACCCAGACCGTAGATGCCCGTCGGGTGGAACTGCACAAACTCCAGGTCCTGCAGCGGCAGACCAGCACGCGACACCATCGCCATGCCGTCACCAGTGCAGGTGTGCGCCGACGTGGCCGAGAAGTACGCACGGCCGTAGCCTCCGGTGGCAATGACCGTGTTGTGCGCACGGATGCGGTGCAGCGTACCGTCCTCCTGGTTCAGCGCCAGCACTCCGCGGCACACTCCGTCCTCCATCAGCAGATCCAGTCCAAAGTACTCGACAAAGAACGTCGCATCGTACTTGAGCGAGTTACCGTACATTGTGTGCAGCATCGCATGCCCGGTGCGGTCCGCCGCGCAGCACGTGCGCCGCGCCTGTCCGCCCTTGCCGTACTCGAGCGACTGCCGCCGAACGGCCGCTGGTAGATCGTGCCCTCAGGCGTACGCGAGAACGGCAGACCCATGTGCTCCAGCTCAATCACCGCCTTCGGTGCCTCGCGACACATGTAGTGGATCGCGTCCTGGTCGCCCAGCCAGTCACTGCCCTTGACCGTGTCGTACATGTGCCAGCGCCAGTCGTCCTTGGTCATGTTGCCCAGCGCCGCGTTTAATACCACCCTGCGCTGCCACTGTGTGCGAGCGCGTCGGGAACAGCTTGGTCACACACGCAGTCTTGAATCCGGCCTCGGCCAGACCCATCACCGCCCGCAGGCCAGCACCACCGGCTCCCAGCACAACCGCGTCGTACGTGTGGTCAATCACTTCGTACTTGGGCGAGAATGTGTTCGTCGCCTCCTTGCCGCGCAGGGGCTGCGTGCCAAACACGCGTCCGCCGTGCGCGAAGCGTGGAACTGGCGGGTACCTTGAACCTAATACAACCAGGCTGATTAGAGTCAGCGCCTCATGTAGATGCATGTGCACGAGCCAGACACTGGCAGAGGCGTGAAATCGGACAACGCAGCAGTCCTTTCGGCCAAAGGAGAATTTCTTTATTGATTTTCTCCGGAACCATGACGTGCTTTTAGATAGCCACACGCCAGGCCAGGCTTTACGATTCTGCTCTCAATTTCGAAAATCTCGAAAAGGGAGCGGAATACTTACCAGAGCCTTCGCGGTGTGCTGCTGCAAGGTAGAAAGTCGAGAGCTCAGCATCCTTGTATAGAGAGAAATACTTGAGGTTTTTGATGAAGCAGAAGCCCTGCAAAAAGGAATATAATAAAACGCTTGTGGAGATAAAGGAGGAGAGGAAAGAAAAAGAAGAGGACGGCTTCCGAAAAATACCAAGCAGGCGGGTAGGGGCTTCGTTTTATTTTCCGAAGAGATAAGATTACGCTGGCTCGAGCTCCTGGCGAGGGCTGCTTTTTCCTTATTGCCTCAAACGACGAAAAATCTCCTTGTTTACGCCAGAGTCGGGAGAGAGATTTTCCTTTTATCTTCGCCCGACCCGAGTCACTCTGCGGGACTGGCTCATTCCGGCCGGTTCCTAGCGCAAACCATTGCCTGGAATCGGGTTTTATTGCTGCACAACCATATTTGCGCGCTGGATCGCTGGCTGATGTATCATACGCCGCCCCTCTTGCTGCGCCATGCCCGCTGGCTTTATGTTTATCGTCTTCTACATACTTGGCCTTGTCTCTTCCCTCATGACCCTCGCTCGAATGGCTACCAGAACCAAGGCCAAGCGGCCCGCTGCCGCCCTGCACCACAGGCGCTACAAACTCGGGACGAAAGACGTTCGACTATTTCGGCCAAGCAAAAAAGCACAAGCCGACGATGCTTCAGCTGTCGCTGTGCCCACACACAAAGTGCGGTGGCGGGACCTGCGCGGGACATGGATCGGAACATACATGGCGCCCACCCCTCCTCGAAATTCGCTGCCTTCGACCTGGACAGCACGCTCATTGAGGTCAACGGCGCCACCGCTTCCCAAAGAACGCCAGCGACTGGCGTTTTCACCACCCCAAGGTGCCAGAGCTGCTGCGCAATGTCCACAAGCAGGGCTACAAGATTGTGATTATATCGAACCAGAACGGCCTCAAGCCCAACAAGGGCTCGACAGCGCTGACTAAGAAGGCTGTCGAGTTTCGTGACAAGATCTCGCAGATCGCCAAGCAGCTCGACGTGCCATTCACCATCCTGGCTGCCACCGCCAAGGACTATCTGAGGAAACCGAGCCCTGGCATGTGGATCGCAGCCGAGCTCGACAATGCTGGTGTTGCTGTAGACCGGTCGCTGAGCTGCTACGTCGGCGATGCTGCTGGTCGGCCGGGAAAGGGCAAGGCTAAGCCGGACTTTAGCGACTCTGACTTGGCCTTTGCTCTGAACCTCAACGTACCCTTCTATGTGCCTGAGGAGGTGTTTACCAAAGACATCCTGTCCAAGGACGAGCCGTTCCGCTGCCCACGCCGCAGGACTGGACCATTGGCCGCTTCCATCCCAAGGGTATGGATTCAGCAGGCGACGCGCACAAGGAACTGGTATCCAAACTCGCCACCAGAGCCGCCAAGGCCGACAAGGACAACCGCCTTCTTGTATTGCTGGTCGGACCACCAGCCAGCGGCAAGTCCACGTTTGCAGCAAAGCACCTGGTGCCCCTTGGTTTCGAACACATCAGCATGGACACGCTCAAGACTCCGCGCAAATGTCTGGCCACTGCATCATCCGCCCTGTTCAAGGGCACACCTGTTGTAATTGACAACACCAACCCCGATCCTGCCGCCCGCAAAGCATATATCGACGCTGGGAAGAAAGTGGGTGCTGACTGCATATGCATCCTGTTCGACTGCAATGGCCGCGAGCTGGCTCTTCACAACAACAGCTACGTGCTAACCTGCCGCAGTCGAGATTTCTGCATGCGACTGAACCCGGCCAAAGCCTGGGGGATCTCCCAGCCAGGCTAGACAAGGTGCCCGATGTCGCCTACAACATGTTTTTCAAGCGGCTGGCTCTGCCAGATGCAAAGGAAGGCCTGTCTGAAATCATTCACTATCCGTTCATTCCCAAGTTCGACTCTGCCAAAGACCACGAGCTCTGGCACCAGTTCTATTAGCACCAGCAGGCCATAGCACCGTGCAATTAACATTATTATGCCTCGTACTGAGTGAGAAGTGATGTGCTTTAGATGCTGAGATATATGGCCAGAAACAGGCATTACTCGTAATGAAAAACGGAACTGAGTAGGACCGAGCGCCCAGCGCCACGATATATACCTCACCAGCCGCAGCCACCACATACATCTGTGATCACACCTTTGGTGGCTATCAGCCGTAGTGATATATTAGCACAGCTGTCTATGCCCATGTGCCGGGACAAGCTTGCTTTAGTGCAGCAGGTAAGAGGCTCTTCGTTTGCTGGTGGGCCTGGCCGCTCCGAGTCGACTGACATGCCAGGACAGGAGGTTGCCCCTGATCCGCTGTTGCGCCTGGTAATTGATCAAGGGTCAGGGACGCCAACACGCTGATCTGAGCGTTCGAACCTCGTCGCTCAGCTCCTTCTCTTCTACGACTGCATCTGTCTTGAATATCTCTTACACTATACCTATTCTTTGCATGTCTGAAATTGTCGCGCATTTGCGGTCATTGCGGCAGTCCTGCGCTCAGGGCATGGCGTGGAGCTCGGCGCTGGTGTGGGCCGAAAAGGTGACTTTGCTGACTGGCGACACAGAAGACGTGCTCTGGCTAGTCGACGCGCTAGTGACGAATGGCCAATACGGCAGGCAGAGGAATGGCTTAACCACCAACAGTACGCCAGGCGAATCCGCGACACTGCCCCAGGACAATATTTGGCGTCAATTGTTGCGCTACGGCTGGGCAGAGCTGAGGATGCACTGGACTTGCTCGGCAAAGCAGCAGCTGAACTGACCACTGGACTAGCAGGCCCTGGTATTGGCACACGCTCTACAAAATTCCCAGGTGCTCAAGGCGAAACGCCAACCACGTCAAGGTCAGCGAAGCCAGTGTCCTCACTCACATCTTCGCTGTATGACAGTGCAGTCAAGACTGGCTCTACAAATGCGCCTGCATACAACCTTGGCAGTAGCTGCTTAATACAGCAAACGAGCATCCACTGAATCCGCGTGCCTTGGTGCTGTACATGCAAGGCGCGGCAGTAATCCAGCTAAGCAATGTAGGTGGTACTGAGGACCTCCCTAGCATCAAAGAACTGGCCACTCGTCACCCCGACAATACCAGGAGTCTGTCGACTATGCACCGTCGAAGCACTCTAAGATCGGTAGCCGAACCCCCGATCTAGGTCCCGCGTCACAACCTGGTGGTATCGGTGGAGCTGCGGGAGAAAGCGTCAGCCCACTAAGTGCCTTGGTCAAGCGACTATGGATTGAGGCGGTCAAGGCTGATGCGCGGTGCTGGGAGGCCTGGTCAGGGCTGAGAGAGCACGGCCTGCTGACATGCAAGGAAGAGCTTAGCTTGATTGCGAGCCTAGATTGGACCTCGCATTGTGCTGGATCTGAGGGAGTTGGGCAGTTCTTTAAGCAGTACTGTCTGGCAACCATGACTACATATGCTACGAATGAGCAGACAGTCGAGGCAACGGCCAGCTTGTTAAAGAGCTACCCATGTCTAGTGCAAGATCCTAGTCTGCTGGCAATCCAGGCGTCACGACTGCTGTCACTCGGCCGCGCTCGCGACTGTCTCACGTACACCGTGCGTGTTTTGGAGATTCGCCGTATCCCGGACCCCGGCACAACCGCAATCCATATCAGTGCACTCACAGCACTACATGCCAGAGACGCGCTGTTCCGGATCGCACACGAGCTGGCTGAGGAATTCGGCATCTCGTCGATCAAGCGAATTGACGTTGAGCCAGCCGACACTGCCAATGACTTGTTTGCAGGGGGCATGGCTGGGATCCCCGGTAGCAGTGGCTCGGTGATGTCGACCCCCAGGTCGACTTGCTCTGCATCCAATATCAGGCACTCGATTGGCGCATCCGCGTCTGGCGTCAGTCGCATCCGGTCAGGCGCCCGTGGTCTACTTATTCCCGAAACCCCCTCACGCCTAATGCGGCGGAAGTGCCACATCCCAAAGGGCTAGTAGATCAATGCAGCCAGCGGCCCAGTTTCCTCTGCCGCTACCGCTGCTGCTTGGAAAGGACTGTGGGGACTACCAACTTGGACACGGCCAGGACCACCTGTGCTGGCAACATATCCATGCGCACTGGGGCCATCGCATATGACGCCAGTTACAATGACACGTCTGTCTCCACAATGGATACGTTCTCAACGACCAGCGCCCAGTCGATCGGTAGCCCAACCCAAGATGAGTTCATCGGCGCCTCCTTGGCATGGTTTGCGATCGGTTGCTACTACTTGGTGACAGCATCGATTCTAACAGCCCCAGCCTCTGCCAAGCCGACTGGGGGCAGTCACATACGTCCTTTGGTGATTCTGACGTCCGCAGCTCGCCTGGGCATATCTGGATCTAACAGCGATGGTGGGACCTCGCTGCGTCGTGGTCAGCCGCTGACACCTGAAGCTGAGCATGCGCTCTCTGAAGCCCGCCGGTGGCTTACCAAAACGACCCTTGTCTCACCGCGCAGTGTTTCGGCATGGGTTGCTTTTGCCCATACGTTCGTGCTTGCTGGAGAGTGGGAATCGGCAACACGTGCTCTGCACAGCTGTCGGTCTGTGTGGATTCGAAGGTGTTGTTCACGGCGGTGGCCGCGACTCTGGATCGACAGCAAAGTCGTCGCACGGGACACCTAGCAAGCACGTGGCATTTAGAAGTGCACGGGTACTGCAGTTGCCAGAGCGTGGCAGTCGGGCTGCACACACCACTGGCAAGCTTGGCAGTGTTTACCTACAAATGGGTGACCTAACCATGGCCGAGTCATGTTTTGATGCCAGTATGCGCTGCCTGAGTGGATTCTGCATCCGCGACTGTCTCTCTCTATGGATGCCGGTCGTTGACGCCATCCATGATGACCAGATCCTAGCCTGGTGCGAGAACACCAGCCATAAGCAGTCCGAATCCAATCGTATTAGTCACTCAGCATCAGCCATGACTGACCCACAGCTGCTCAACGATATTGGTGTCCTATACTACGCGCGCAGCGAATTTAGTACAGCAAAGCTGCTCTTTGCCATGGCACTCCATGCTCTGCATATCAACACTAACCAGCAACATATGCTGCAATCGGCATTCGCTCCGTCGCAGAAGCACACTACGCGCTGGTCACGAGCGCCAGATGCTCAGGCTGCATATTCTCTGCCCATGGCCAACCTGGGCAATGCTTTGCGTCGCATGGATCGACTTGATGCCGCACTGCTGTGCCTCGACGCATCGGCAAAATGTATGCCATCTAACCCCGAAATTACACTATCGACTGCGTTCACCCTACACTCTCGTGCAATATCCCTACTCGACCAAAGCGACTCTGTCAGTGCCAGCCGCGACCTCGACCGCTCCATCGATTTGTACCACGATATTCTCTCCTCGCGACCTGGTGACCCAGTCACCACTGATCTCTTGGCACTGGCACTGGAGTTATCTACAAACATCCAAGGCACGGTTTTGCTAGGTGGGCTGTTGGATTTCAGCAAGGACAGCATGCCCAAATGGACCAGCATCCTCGAACCCCAGGTGAGCTGAAATATCAAGGGATGTAGCAGCAAGCCATCAAATCCGAGTCTCCTCACCAAGCCTCCATTTCTAGAGAGGAATTACCAGCCATAGAGTTAGACCAGTACTCCAGCAGCTACCACCTTCATCCAATCGTGCGTCACTGGAGCCAGAAGTTGATGGAAGTGACGAGGAAATGGAGATTGAAGAGGATACTGACAGCGATATGGCTGTAGACTGATCTGGCTAAATGCTGCGCTTTGAATACTTTAATACTATGCCCTTAACCGACACCTCACAGTTCACCATCTCCGTGATAGTATGAAAAAAGAACAAGCATGAAGTAATGGAGCAAACGATCACAGAGCGCTCATGGAGTGGGGCTTGGCAGATAAGGAGAGCCCGTAGTTGAGGATCGTGGCCCACATCAAGACTGCCATCCATAGAAACAGTAAATAAACCCATTAATGGCAAGCTGCACTAGGATAAGAGCATGAACTAAAACGCAGACTTCGCTTGAAACTGAAACAAGCAGAGGAGAAAGCTAGAGTCGAGGTAGAGAGAAAAGGTAGCTTTCCTTGGCCATTTAAAGCTACTCGCCAAAAAATTAAACGATTGCTTTCTTCCATGCAGAGAGAATTAATTGCAAAAGAGACGAAATTGCAAAAAAGGTCTTTCCGAGGTTCGAACTCGGGTTGGCGGAATCAAAACCCGCAGTGATAAACCACTACACTAAAAGACCCTCCACGAAGTGCCCAATCCATCTGGACCGATCGTCACACAAGTTTTGGAGATTTTCAAAATGTACAGTATATATCGTGAAATAATTAGTTATTATTACTTTTTGGATGGTGGTGCTGGCCAGCAGGCCCCCAGTTCCATCCATATTCCTATTGGAGGTTATTCAGAGATACTTATCTGCTTATCGATTATCTATGCATACTAACTACTGGCACTCTTAGTAGAATTAATATTTTTACCTAAACTGCTATTAGTACCTTAAAAAATTCAGTAAATATAATTTATCTAGAAAGAAAAAACCTTATATATATATTTAATTTTCTCTTGCGTAATAATAGTTAATATCTTAATAGATATAGCTAAACAACTATATAGAAATTATACATTCTAGAATTTTTCTAAGATGCTATTAGTAGTTTAGATAAAATAGATATATTAATATTATCTTAGAAATCAATTATATATAAATATTCTAGGTATGATAATTGAAATATATATACTAAACATATCTTATATAAAATATCTATTTTATAAATGATTATTTAATATACTACTAACTTTATTATAATTTACTAAAATTTATTATTCTAAAAATAACCTCTAATAGCTATAAACTAAAAGTATATTCAGCCTACTATAGGTACTAGCAGTATATACCAAAATGTGTGATAAATAGGGTTTGGCCAATATAGATGTATACTTATATCATAAGCATAGGACTGCTAGATATTTATCTGTATATATTTTTATAATCCTAAAATATCTGACCATCCCCTAGAATATTTTTAGTTAGTTAGAAAATATAAGCTCTTAAACCTTATTGAAAATATGGATAACCTGCTCTGTAAACTTAATAAATAGTATTCTTTTATAGTTGATCAATTTAGATCATAAGATGACAGATATATCTCTTTAAAGCAATCAAAAGATCGAACCCAGAACCTTCTATCAAAGTACCATTTATCTTAGTTATCCTAGATTTCATAGATATAGTAAATTCGTAGATGCACTAATGTAATAAACAAATCACCCAACTTTTATATCCTCAGCACACAGACTTGGAGCCATAGGCTGAAGTCGATAGGGGTGATAGTAGGCTGTCTGCACAGCCTGCAACTGGTCTCATTGGTTTATGAAGAGCGCTCAAAGAAGGATCTATTGGTTTGCTGGCCAATACATCCTAGATATAAAAATATCCCTTCCTATGTTATTCATCCTTGTTCTCCTCACCCCTCCACGCATTCTGATTTCCCTACAAACCCTCCTCTAGATTCTGTTATTTAATCGTCGTGGCTGCCAGCGGCGCCATGCCTCGATACGGGGCTCGACTCAGTGATGTGCATCGGCAACTACTCGATGAATACGTCTGACTACGCAAGAGTCACCTGCCTTGGACAGCGGAATGAACCCCCACTTTTTCTCTGCAACCTTCCGCGATGAACATCGTTATACAATACCTACGGACGGGTTGCATGGAGCTCTCTTTGTGGGCATATTCCTGCTGTGTTGGATAGGCAAGGCTCTTGCAAGATTTCGCTATCGATTGTGCCTCCGATGGCTCTGCTGGCACCCAGACTGCAAGCAAGCAAAGAACCGCCCAGCTGCTGCCAGCAATGGCAAGCCAGAGCAGTAACGCCGGCCGTCGATCAAGCCCCTAGAACAAACCCTCAAGAGTATAGTTCTTTTTTAACTTTCCAGGCAGTTGCTATCGCCCCGCGGCAGACTCCTTGCCTCATTATCGACAGTCTAAGCCATACTAATTAGCCGAGCTCGCATTGCGGGCGCCAGAAATCTAGTTACCCCAGAGCAGTTACATATACTTGGGCAGAATTATCGTCTTCTGCTCGACATTGTAGTAGCAGGCTTCTGGGGTTCTGCGCCGTAGCCACGTGCAGTATAACCAGTTGATTGAGGATGCTATTTTTAAGCCATTCTGACTGTATTTAAGCTGTACCGTAAGCAGCCGCTCGTAGTGACGACATCTTTACTTGATTATGCTTCCTTCTGCAATATTGTCATTTGTTTTTGGCATCGTGCTCGTCCCTGTAGTGACTGCAGACGAATGCAACTTGGCGTATTGGAAACCCCGTCTGATAGGCACGCAGATGATCGGAGAGAAGCTCCCAGGGCATGTGACAGAGAAGAAAAAGTCGTTCCTGCAGCAGCTCAAAAGCCTCGACGCATTATCCGACCATCAGACTAGTGGTAGACCAGGTTGAAAACCCAAAGCGCATCTCAGTATATGTAAACGAGAAGGACATCGTGTTCGACGTAAACTGCAGCTGACAAAACGCAGCATAGATTAAATGAACCATAATTTGGGGCAGGCAGAATAAGCTGGTGTCTGGCAGACTGAGCGGCGAAATAGCAAAAAATCAACCTTATCTTTTGAATAATACTGAACAAGCAATAACACCATTTGTCGTCTTTTGTCGAGCGCGTGCGCAGCGACCCAAAGAGTATCTGCGTTCCAGTTCTTGCCATTGCAGCAGTGGCCGCGGTCGGCGGAGCAGTGGTGCTGACGTCGCGGTATTTGCAGGCCGACCATGTGCGGACGGTACGCAAGCGTGCGGCGCAAAAAAGTATAGGGCGCTGCTCAGCGACCTAGCCGAGTGCAAAGGCATTCTCGGCTATATTGATTCACAGGAAATTCCCAAGGCGCAGCAGTTGGCAACCGAGGCGAGCAGATCATGAGCCAAATCGTGCAGGAAGGCGCAAACGAGGGCCGAGCAGGCAGCGCTGCAAACCGGCTGCAAGCCATCAGAATGGATATCATGGGTGTGGGCGAGCAGCTGCTACGGCTGATGGAAAAAGTCGACGGGGTTGCGCCAGCGTTGGTGCTGGAGGCAGCGGGGCTGGAGCCATGGGCCGAACACGAAAAGGAGCTAAGGACAAGGCGCTGAGCGATGGACTGGGTGCGGTGTTTGATCTGGCAAGCGACCTGCGAGCTATCCGGAAGGGGCTCATCCACAAGGCAGAACGCCGCGCCCGCAAAGTCGATTCGCTCAAGAAAATCACAGCTGTCGCCGTGTAAGCGAATGCGCAGCGGGCTGCATGTCGCCCTGGCAGCCCTGGCAGCCTGGCGGATTAGGGCATCTTCCCAGCAGGGGAGCATGCCTGAAGCATGCGCAGCTCTGCACCTGTAGCGTGCCACGGCCGAACAGGGGTGGGTATAAAAGAGAAGGAGGGCGGGGAGAGGTACAGCCTCTTTTTGTCTTTCATCCTCCATTCTCGGAATTCCTTATCTCTCGACTTCAACCCAGCAGCCCACTCTTTTTAGTTCTTTTATCAGCATACAATGACCTCGTATTCTCTGCCGGCTTCCCTTTGACGAGAAGCTCATCTACATTGATGGCCGGTGGGTGCAGTCGACGTCCACAGCCACGCATAACGTGGAGAACCCGGACACGGGTGATGTGATTGCGGTTGTGCCCGAGTGCAATGCCCAGGATCTGGACAAAGCGGTGCAGGCTGCGTACAACGCGTTCCATGATGGGCCCTGGGCCAACCAGTTCTCTGGTGCAGAGCGCCGCGACGCCCTGATCGCCGTTGCCGATGCCATTGAGGAGCACCGCGCCGAGCTCGAGCTCATCGAAAGCATCAACACTGGCAAGCCCATCAGCGACATGCACGTCGAGGTCGACGACACGATCGACCTGTTCCGCCACTTTGCTGGCTATGCTGACAAGGTTGAGGGCCGCCATATCGGCCACCAGACAAACCAGACAATTGAGGGCTACACGGTCAAGGTGCCTGTCGGTGTGGTCGGCTTCATTAACGCCTTCAACTACCCGCTGAACCTGCTTGGCTGGAAGGTCGCTCCTGCGCTGGCAGCCGGGTGCACAGTTGTCTTCAAGCCTGGACCGCAGACACCCTGACCACGCAGTACTTTGCCTACCTGCTTGAAAAGACAGGCAAGTTCCCGCCTGGCGTGTTCAACGTGGTCACTGGCGGTGGAGGTTGGCCAGGCTCTGGTTGACCACGACCTGGTCGACAAGATTGGCTTCACCGGCTCGGTCGCCACGGGCAAGCACGTGATTCGGTCGACAGCCTCGACGCAGAATGTGCGCTCGACGTCGGTGGAGTTGGGTGGCAAGTCGCCGGGCGTGGTGATGCCCGATGCGGACCTGGACAAGACGGCGCAGCTGGTGGTCAGCGGATGCATGAGCAACGCCGGCATGAACTGCAACGCGCTGACGCGCCTGTGGGTGCACCGCGACATCTACGACGAGTTCATGCCCAAGATCAAGGCGGCCGCCGAGTCGATGGTGCTGGGTGCCCCGCAGAGGAGACACGGTGATGGGCCCGTCATCGACAAGCGCCAGTTCGACCGGGTCATGGAGTACATCCGCATTGGCAAGGAGGAGGACAAGGCGGCAGTGCTGACTGGTGGCGAGCGCGCGTTCGACCGCGGGTACTGGATCAAGCCCACCATTTCTACAACGTCAAGAGCGACGCCCGCATTGCCACCGAGGAGATCTTTGGCCCAGTGCTGTCGGTGCTCGAGCCGTTCGACAGCCTCGACGAGGTGATCGAGATCGAGCGCAAGAACGAGTTTGGTCTGGCTGCGGGCATTTTCTCGCGCAACCACCAGGACATCAAAAAGTTCACGCGCAAGCTGCGCAGCGGCACCATCTGGGTCAACACCTACAACGCCCTGTTCTCGTACCTGCCCTTTGGCGGATTCCGCAACTCGGGCTTTGGCCGCGAGCTGGGCTACGAGTCGTTTGACGGATACCTGGTCCCCAAGTCCATCATTGACGACGTGTCGTACTAAGTTTGGCACCGAGGGGCCAGCCGCAATGTTTCCTGCAGATATGCACAGGTATCCAGCCTCGCCCCCTAACCCCTTGATTGGCTGTTTTTTCGGCGGGGGTTCAGGGCCTTGCCATTGAAGAGACGAGCGCTGGTTTTTCCGCACCTTGGCTCTTTAGCTTCTTTTTTGCTGTTCTCTAATTCAAATTACTCGCAGTTTTGCTAGAAAGATGAGCTGGAAGGGTTTCAAGAAGGCGCTAGAGCGCATGCCCCACCAGCTACAGAACAAGATAGGCCGCGGCACGAAGACAGTGGACACCGAGTATGACGACCTGAAGCTGCGGTTCATCGACCTGGAGACAGTGGCCAAGACGCTGTTTCTGCAGGCAGCGCAGTTCCGCGATAGCATCCGCGCTACGCTGGTGTACCAGATAGCGTTCCTGGAGCAGATCCTGGCCAGCTACCGGCCAATTACCACCGACCCTGAAGGCGTAGCCCAGCCCATGGGCAGCTACATCGACGAGGGGGCGTCACCAGAGCTGCTGCATGTGGCCGAGGAGTTCCGCAGCCGCGTCACAGCCATCAAGACCAGCGTTGACCCGCAACTAGAGACGCTGGACATGTCTGTGGTGGGCCCGGTGCAGGAGATGCTGGCCATGATGAAGAACGTGCGCCGTGTGATGCAGAAGCGCGACCACAAGATGGTGATTTCGACCGCTACCGTGCCCAGGTTGAGAAGCACGAGGCAAAGGAGGGGCTCGAGGGACAGCGCAGCCTGCCCGACCAGCAGAGCTACGAAAAGTACAGCGCCCAGTACCAGGAGGCCTCGCGGCAGTACAACTACTACAACGACATGCTCAAGGCCGAGTTGTCCAGCTGCTGGATCTGCGCCAGGCATTCATGGACCCGGTCTTCCTCAAGTTCTTCCGCATCCAGCACCAGCTCTACACGCAGCTGCTTGTCGAGATGTCGGCCGCCGCCCGCAACTGCCTGCGTTCGACCTAACCACGCCTGTTGTGGTTGGGTGGCAGCAAAAGTGGCCCCGTGCCGAGCAGACCATGGGGTCCATTGACCTGTGGAGCCAGGGCTTGCATGTCGAGCCGTACAAGCTTGACGAAAAGCCCAAGGGCTTTGTTGGCTCGCTGAAGGGCACCTTCCGCAAGAAGGAGAAGTCGGCCACCCCCACCGCATCGAGCATGTTTGCTGGCGGAGCGCCTGCCTATGGCTCCTCGCCGCCACCAGCCGGCACCTCTACTGGCCGCGACTCACCCTACAGCTCCCACAGTGGCAACGCACCCGCCTAACGAGAAGCCGCAGGGCTGGGGCGGTGGCCCATCGCCCTATGCATCGCCGGCGTACCAGGCCCCACCGGGGAGAAGCTGCCTGCTGCTGGCGCTGCTGCTTCGCCCAGCCATATGCCTCCACCGCCTATGACTCGCTGGCTGCTCCGAATCCGTATGCCCAGGCTCCGCCGCCCGAAAAGGCTCCACCCGCCTCCATGCAGCTGCCAGTCCCCGCCGGGGCCTCGCCCCCAGTTTGTGGTGGCTATCTACGATTACGCCGCGCAGGCCGAAGGCGACTTGAGTTTCCGTGAGGGCGACCGCATAGAGCTGGTGCAGCGCACCGCGGCCAAGGATGACTGGTGGACAGGCCGTCTGAACGGTGTAACCGGCGTTTTCCCCGGCACATACGTGACTGATCCGTAGTGCTAACGTCACTCCCCGGAATCGAAAACTGCACTGTCGTTTGAACCGTTCCATGGCCAGGCTTTCTGCCGCGTCACTTTCTGTTGTCTATTCCTCTCTTGCCCAAGCTCTTTTGCCCAAACTCTTTTTATAATACGTGCCATTCTATAGAGCCCCATTCTACCCGGATACTGCATAGTGTAGCCATATTTGTCCCGATCCATGCCGGGACCGTTCCGTGTCTGGACCAGCCTGGCCGTGCGCCGCCGATCTTGACTCTGGCTGTGACCAACGGTGTGCTGGGTGGTGCTGGTGATCTGCTGGCTCAGTCGATCGAAAACAGGACTGAGTCAACGAGCACTCCGTTCTGCTGGGATACCAGGCGCACAATCCGCTTTGTCACCTGGGGCGCCATATGTGCGCCGGTCTTGCACAAGTGGTACCTGTTTTTGAACAACCAGTTTCCACTGCCAGCCCTCGACACCAGCAAGACCCTGTTTGCATCCGCTGTTGCTAAGCGCGTCGCAGCCGACCAGCTCGTCTACGCCCCGCTCGGCATCGCCGGCTTCTTCATTGCCATGAATGCTATGGAGGGCCACGGCTGGCGATCGGCCAAGCACCGCCTCGGCGAGCTCTACGCCCAACGCTGTTTGCAAACTACGCCGTGTGGCCCGCTGTGCAGGCGATCAATTTTGCCTTCATTCCAACAATTTACCGCGTCCCGTTCTGCAGCGCTATCAGCATCTTTTGGAACGCCTTTATTTCGTGGACGAACGCACAGTCGCCTGCACTGGGTGCCAAGCTGCCGCTCGAGAGTCCTCATATAAGAGTGAAACCAGCTCATTGAGTGTGCAGGGTTTGGCAGACAAGCACAAGACGTTGTGGTTGGGACCGCACAAATAAACCCATGTAAATTGAGACCATGCGGGTACACATGTAGGCTTGCAATGATGTGTGACTTTCTGCATGATATGCAGTGATGAAACGGGATGCCGCTTCCCTTTAACACATACCTGCTCAGCTTTATATCAAAAAGACTGGTTGTGGGAACAAACCTACGGACTTCAAAGATACTTCGCGTGGGGCCCTTTCTACACTGCCACTGCTGTATGGCACCAAGCGGTTGTTTGGTGTGACGGCTGTTTTTTTAAACAAGCATTTGTTTTTGACAAGCGAAGAACCCTTGGCATATTTCCAAAAGAGCTCCAAATGTTAAATGCTGCTACTCAATCTTGGCATGCCAAGTCTTGATATCCGCAGAAACACCGCACAACATGACATATATGATTGCAGACAAGTAGATATTCTTTTCGTTCCTTGAACAACCAAACAACAGCTAGTTTCTCAATTCAATATCCATAATACTGCTTCCTAGCCTTGTTATTCTAACAATATGGACGGTGTCTCACATTTCACTTTTATCGATGCCCCTGGATCCGCAGATGCAACTAATGTTGCCACCGGCCATGCGAGTAAAGTTGTCGAGATTGCAAGCAGCCATATTCTTTACACTCTCACCATCAGCAATGCTGGGCTCAGCGTCTACTCGTGGATAGCTCGCCGGACTGACCCAACAGTCACTGGCACTGTAGTAGGTACATCGATGGGTCTTGCGGTTATGAAGGGTTTGGACGAACTGCTACTGCAAGAAAGTCCGGCTATATTCGCGGTGCATGGAAATTTGTTGACTTCACAGGCAATGAATATTGCTGGTGTGTCAGCCTGATGGGCTCCACCTGGAAGTTACTAGACTCGAACCACGATAAAGTTGCTATGTTCTGCTGCATACCTACCAAGCATCGCCCTATCGTTGGCCATTTGTCAATGAACCGGATGTATCAGAACAGCTGTCTCGCTGGTTCTTTTGACCTGTCAAATGGTTTACCTTCGTGTTAAAGCTAATTAATATTATTTATTTTACACTTGAAGGTATCCACTACGCTAGCTGTTGCATGCCATAAACCCTTAGAAGCTCTTGTGTTAGCTGTGCGTCCAACTACAAGGCAATCTGTCATTTTCCTTTTTGCCAGAGTAATTCTAATCCAGCAGTCGGTATTTGGGCTTTTCAGACTAGTAACGCCAAATGTTTCCGTTGCAATCTCAATCAGGACATTGTTATTATCAAGTCTGTATGGCTCATATGGCATGTTGGTTGACAGGGAAAATCATACCTGTGTAGGACATTGGCGAAAGCTGTATAGAGCTCGAGCATTGCCAGGTTCTTTGCGATGCATACCCGTACCCCTGAACTAGATGTAGGTATACCCTTATCCTTATCCTTTTCAGTTCCATATGCTCCAAGGAAGTGCTCAGAGACAAACCTGTCAGGATTGGGCCAAAGGCATTGGTTGGGTGGCAGGCTGCAATTGAGACACCAATACTTGAAGGGAGAGGCAAGCACAGAGATTTTGTACTATCACTCAGGTGGCAGAGCCAAAAAGAAAAAGAAAAAAAAGGACAATGGGATGAAAGACTATGTAGTTCACAATAATTGGATCATGAGATTCTAACATAGAGTGTGTATGATAGTGTCTCGAAACAAATGGTAGTTTAGCGAGAAACTGCAGAATTTGCTTTAGGAATGGACCAGCGATATGTACAAGAGGCGAGAAGAACGCACTGATGATCTGTCGAATAGTATGTACAGCTATTACCGTGAAGAACACTAGTACCAGTGTGTGCAGCATCACCTCAACTGAAAATTGTCTATCAGAATTTTCTCCAACCATTGTATAGCGACAAAAAGTTTGGAGTGCAGTAGAATGTTGATAACAAATATGAAATGCATATTCTATTTACCAGGGTATATTTGAACTTTATATTAGCAAATTTGCTTGTGTCGTTGGTAGGTGTCAGTATAATTATTTGGCCATATTCAACTGATGCCATTTGTTCATTGTGTTATGTTGAAATACAACAATGTGTACATAATATAAATCAATACCCTTTTGTCTTACCCTTGCAATACCTCAATACTGCATGCCAATTCTACCCAATATCCATATGTTAATACTAGCCATCAACCGCTGACACAGCGGAGCGTGTTGGAGGCATATGTGGCAGTGATTCTGATGGAATATGCTGGCTGTTGACTGTTTGCCGGAATATCTAATCAGCCGATCTGCGGATCGCGCTTTGCTCGGAGCTGACACCGTTTTCGTGTTTCCTGGCGAGGGCACTCAGCTCTTTGTGCTCAGCTCCCACATATTCGCTTACTTTCTGCTGGAGCTCATATTTCCTGCCTTCTCTTCCATTCCTTGCACTATGCCCTTTTGCGAACAATGTGGTCATTTCTAGGAGACCGCCAGGCTAGAGTCACTGCTGGTGTTGTAATGAAACGACGCGATTACCCCGGTCCGAGACTGACAGTGACACGGTACAGACTGGCATTGCGACAACTGCGACACACAAAACACGGTAAACAAGGAGGGCGAAATTGTCGACAGCCGTGATGAAATGTACAGGGAGGTCCCTGGAAGCAGCCAGCGGAAGCTGCGTATTCTCAGCGGTATTGAGAGTCCGTCTAGCAGTTTCCCTGTGGTTGTATTTTGCAAGACATGCCAAAGCAACCAAACCGGGTGTATCAACTCCTTTCTGAGTACCTGCCTGAAGAGACCGACTCTCACTATGCGCAAAGACTTGCTGAAGCTGACGCCTACAGTCGGACATTGCGCAGACGGTATCCAGTCGCATGTAAGCAGTGCAGGAAAAGTCGACGATCTACTGCAGTCACAGGCGTCATGGCTACGGAAGAAGGAGCTGGCCAGTTCATTGAGGCAGTCGGAGAGGGTTCGCAAGTATGAGCCAAATATCCGGCCAAAACCGACATTGCGACGAAAGGGTGTTACGATGGCCTGGCTCGTGTTTGCCCTGCTCGGATTCATTGCGTGTCCCTTAGCAGCACTGGGGCTCTACATCGACACCCAGCATGGCTACTTGGATCCACCATGGCAGGTGTTGGTAGCTGGTACTGCGATATCCATGGCTACATTCCTGTCCGGCCTACTGAACCCACTGTGGCTAAGGGCGGCATTCAGCACAAGCATCCGGATAGCTGGGCTGCCCAGATACCGGCGGCGCATACAGTTTCTGTCGGCTGGCCGGCTTGCGGTAGCAGTTGGGTTCTTTTGCAGGCGACCATCGCGAGACCTTGCCATTGGGTTAGGTATAGTCGACACTTGCATGTTTGTCTACGCGTTCTGGGCGCTTGAGATTGTCAGTAAGCTCAGGACAAGGTCTCTGAGCAGGCACACATCCGATTCTTATGACACGGCGATGAGGCCACTGATGAGGCCACTGCTAAGACAGCTGACAGCGACACCCCTCTTGAGCGTGCCCGCAAAACCGACGAGGCAACCAGCTCGATGGGTGAGCTTTCTCTGGGCGAGTCAGTTGTAAATCGCGACCAGAACGACAGCCTTCGTGGAACTGCCTTTGCCGGTCTGCATGGAGATCGTAGGCCTGGCGACTGGGTGTCACAGGGCAGAAACATGGCCCACCGGACAGCTACAGAGAGCAGCGGTGGCAGCGCTGTAGGCGACGAACTCGCCTCCATGTTTGGCCTGGAGTCGCTGGCTGTGGGGGGCCGCTCGCGACCTGTACCAGCGACGGTGGTGGCTGCTCAGAGTATGGATGTAGACACCTCTGATGCTGACCTTGGCCGTGGTCCTAGACTACGGCCTGCAGACCCCTCAGGCAACTATCGGCCATTCGAATCGACTCATTTCCAGTCACAAGACACTGGGCTTGAGTCAAAGATGCGAGGATTTTCAATCAACGAGGACGATGACGAGGATGTTGACATGGAGCCAGCTGCAACCGAGGCGAGCCGTGGCCGCCCACGGTCGAACAACGCCATGGAAACCGCTGGCATGGACGGCCAGCTGCTGCGGGTATACCGTGGTATCTTTGGATCCAAGATGTTCGCCTCCGCCTTCACACTAGTGGGTTGGCTGAACAAGGAACCGCTGGCCATGGGAGGGGCATCATGCTGGATATCCCGGATCCTACTTAGCATGGAGCTGTTCATCTCTGCAATCCAGCGGCCGGTACGGGCAGCCGATTCACAAAAGACACGCCAACTAGCGCGCGTCCTGCTTGTGTTCCTGGTGACACTGCCTGTGGTGTTCACGACGCTGTCGATGGATCAATGTCGCTGGATTCGATGGCGAGTGCGTGGCCCCTGTGGCCAAGCGCAAAGAGCGTGTTCATCCATATGGCGTGGCAGCAGGTTCCGCAGTGGTCTGACACCTTGCTTGAGTCACGCAGACCCAACGCCGCCGAACAGCTGCTG